GTTCAGCACAGAAAGCAGCTTTGCAACTGTTGTAAAATTCTTTAATATGATTGTTCTTGCCCTTATTTCCTCATTAGATCTAAAAATGTATAAGCCAATCATATTCAAGAATTTGACAACAGTTACAAAGCTGCTTTTTCTGCTGAACGCAGCCAATGATATGTTTTAAATAAAATTGTAAAGTCAGCGTGGCCAGATTTTGAGCAATTTTCATATTACATCATACTGTACCATGTACAGCGACTGTGTCGCCAATATAATCCAAATAAGTAGCGCATATCTATTTATACTAGTAGGTTATATTATACTCGTATTAATTCGTTACACACATGAAATTTAAATATCGTAAACTTTTATAATTAAAGCCATTAGCTAAAGTTTATCCGCCCAAATGACACTTGAAGCTAGCTCAATTGGCTGCAATTAGCCCAATCTGGCAACACCGACTGAAGTAGATCACGCTATATATGTATGTATAGAGTGGTTAAAAATATAAAACGGAAAATTTCGTGGATTTAAAGTCAATCTTTTTCAGACAATGTTATATGAAATATAAATATTGTAACTTCTTAACATGTGCCATCATCTTGGTAATTATACAAATAATTAAATTAAAAACTCTGTGCTCTCTTTCTTGCTTTATGAACGAGATATTCTGAAAACCAGCAAGTTTATATTTATTTAGAAAAAATTTGAATTTAAAAGAGATAAAAATTGAAAAGTAATTTTTTATGTGCATTATGATTATAATTAACTTATAGCGATCGAGAGAGAAGATTTCGCTTCTCTGTTTCTCCATAAAAGGACCGAGAAAAAAGACGTAAAAAGATATAATTTGATAAAATAAAAGATAGAAAATTTTTTTTTCGGAACGTAATTACGATGCAATGGGAACGAAAGTAACCAGAGACTCTCGCGTTGGATTCTCTCGCATTCAATCTTTTCAACCTCGGGAGATCGTAAGTATTCCCAGGGTGTCTAGGCATGTCGCATGAGGCCAAGAATTGTCGGTATGTGGCTCCAGTGTCCTAGTATGGCCGCTACAATCAGAGTGGCACGCGCCCTCGACCACCCACCCGTCCGTGTAGCGTCCCAAAGCTTCCTTAACCTCCCTCTACAACCTCCCCCGGGAACCTCGTCCACGACGTCGACGACTAGACTAACCCCGAAGAGCGATTCCCCAGCACTTCAGCGATTCCAGAGAACGCATCCCCGCCCATAATCGTCCCTTGTCCTCTTAGCCCCCTGTGCGAATATTCAAAGACGAGCGGCTGGATACCGGATGCACACCGTCGCATGCATTCCCGCGGATACGGTGCATATGCTGCGGGGAACGCCGGAAGTCGGTTCGTCCGCAATCTAACCATTCCGATGTGCGCGCTATTCTTTCGTTTTTGTTCATTTTATCTATCTATTTATTAAATATTAAATTTTAAAAGACCGTCAATGTAACAACATAACTAATACGAATACAAAACCTATAACAGTCTAGCTGGATCTTACTTGCTTATAATGACTTGTCTATTTATTTATTTTTTAAACGAGTAACGCAAAGTCAAAGATCTCTTGAGAAAGTTAAAAATTGTTGTCGGAAAATTGCAAATGTATTATTAAAGCTATGTCAAAGAGCAAATTCTTGCTACAGATCTTAGTTCTTTTAACTTTTTCAAGAGTTTTTAAGATATTTAACAAAATTTGACGTGTTTTTAGTCACAATATTTTACGAGATATCGTAAAATTAATTGCTTTATTTTTATAATATTATACTTATCAATGTATAAAAATACGATTTATAAATTGTTCCTATTTATTTTAATTTTAATTTTACTTAATGCAATTTTAATTTTTTATTAATAATATTCTGAATGAATGTATAAATAAAAATAAAATTTATATTGCTTCTATTTATGTTAATCTTCTATTTATTTTTATTTGGACTTTGATTTTGCTTAATTTAATTTGAATTTTTATTAATCACAAGTTTGTAATATTAATGTAATAAATAACTGTCTATAGATTATTGTATGTTCGCCAGCACGATCAGCTGCACTTTTCACTACTGAGATAAAAATTTCAACTGATGCCATAGCAATTTTTTACACATATACTATTTTTTAAGATCTCTAAAATTATTAAGTTAATGATATATATATAAATTTTTATTTTTAAATAATAACTCAGTAGTTACTGTAATTTCCATTGAAATTTTAGCACAATAAAAATTGGGATTGAGAAAAGAATCCGTAAAAGCAGTTTAAATATATGTATACGTTAGACATAATATTCTCATCATATGTATAAACTTTGTCGATTAAAATTAGTAGTATTTTGTATGTATGAGTCATAATTTTTTTCATTTTTAACTTAAGACTGTAATACAAAGTAAATCTTACAAATTATACATATAGGTTTAGTTCGCTTTCGCGAAATTATTTTTAATTTTATAGAGAGAGAGAGAGAGAGAGAGTTTGCAGTCTTATTTATAAAATTTTCTATATATATGTAGATTGCACGTTGATGAAAGCTCAGTTTTATTCAATTGCTACCCCATCGCATATTTTGATATGTCGTACACGGAATGTTATTAGATGGCATAAGCTTGCCAAAGCACAAAAATAGTAGATATTGTATCTTAAGACATCGTAAAGAAAACAAAGGAACTTGAATGTTGGTATTTAAGAATTTTCCGTACTTTTTCCTCACGATTATAGCCACAGCGTGGAACTCATGGCACGCCTTCCATTCCCTTCCCACGTATCAACCCTGGGAGAACGCATTCCCATCTATATCCCTCCGCCCGATATCATCCCGTACATCCAAGGACATCCAGCTGAATGCCGGAGGAACACCATGCCATACATTCTAATGGAAACATAACGATCGCCAGACTTTTTTATCCCTTTCTCAATTGCATAATATCTAATATTGCTCGAATGCACATATCATACGTTGCTTAATTGTCAAAAATTATATCAAATTACATTTTAATTAATTATGAAAGAAATATCATCAAACACCTTGCAAGAAGCAAATTTAATAATTTAATATTTTAAACTATACATGTATACTTTAATTCAAACTTTAAAAAATCCTTTAAAAAGTATGAATTTAAGAAACATAAAATTATACAGAGATATATAATTTACTAAATGACAATGTTTGTGAGAACGTTAAATGAGATATAAAGATACATAGGACACACATATGTATATATTCTTCCACATAAACTTTTATAATTGTATCTACTATAAATTCCGAGATAGCATTGTTCTCGGTTTCGTCAGGAAAAGTTGAAGTGTCGCATACTCATAAAGCGCCCAACAGTGAAGTCATGCGATCACACGATCTCAATGCCATTTGCTTGCTTACAACAGCGTCACATAAACGTCATGAATAATACCGAATACGTATATTACTTCGTAACTCACCGCAGTGGCAATCACTGTTCCGATTATCTCGCCCCTGGTCCTTCCGTTTTCTCATCTCTGCACAGATAGTTCCTCGTTCTCGTATCCGGACCGCTTTCATCTCGTTTCAATATCCGGGATTCTGAGAAAAATGAAACCGTTATAATGGCGACGCAAAAAAGTGATTTTCCATGAAATTTGTGCTTAACCCTATCGAATAGCTGTGAAAGACTGTGTGACTTTTTTATACTAGAAAGAAGTAATGGAATGAGAAATGCGTATAATGTAATATTAGATACCTGTTGACCCCAGTTTGTGAATATTTTCCGAAAATTCGAGTCGCGAAACTAAACGCACGTCCGACGCGTCGTTTATTACGCGCGCTTGTATCCGGGATTCTGAGAAAAATGAAACCGTAATAATGGCGTCGCAAAAAAGTGATTTTCCATGAAATTTGTGCTAATCCTATCGAATCGCTGTGAAAGACGTGTGATTTTTTATACTAAAAAGAAGTAATAGAATGAGAAATGCGTATAATGTAATATTAGATACCTGTGGACGCCAACTTGTGAATATTTTCCGAAAATTCGAGTCGCGAAACTAAACGCGCGTCCGGCGCGTCGTTTATTCTCGGATGAAGCGCCAAAATTGTGGCGCGATTGCGCAACCTCGCGGTCATCTTCATGTATTACTAATCGTGATTGACGCTCTGATGATAAGCGTACGTTCGATTCGTTATTTCAACATCCAAACGAATAACTTTGTGTTATGAAAATGAATAATTAAATTTTGTTTGGCTTTGAATGGATTAATGAACACTTTAATAGAAAATCCAGAGTTCTCATATTAATTTTATATACATATGTATATAATAATTAATTTATAGCCAACTTATACTCAATAAAAATGTTAAATGAACAATCTATTAGAACTTTCATAATTTATTCTTTACTATGTTTTTAACATTAAATTATATATTAATTTGAAATTGTATCATTTTTATTTTCCACTTCAAAAATTGAAGAAATTTTAGATAAATTTTAAATATTGTACACATTATTTTATAATTTAATTTAAAAATTGAAGAATCCTAAAGTATTACTGACTAAATCGTATAATTTTTGTATCGTAAAAACTTTTTTCGTCATTCACAGATTCGAAAATTTTTACAGAATTAAAAGTATACGCATTAATACGTGTCTGTAAGGTAGAATCTATGCTGAAAACGATAAAAAATTTCAAAACTGAGTTCTTCTTTACCATTTTTTAGTCCAATGTAGCGCTCCAGAGCTGTCACGTCGTTGCACGTCGTAACAACATTTACTTTTCATACATAGAGAGAGAAACTACACGTTCTGTACTTACGAAATAGTAGTCCACAGGCAAGTAGTTTGTATGAAAAAACAGCGTGGAGTTCTTAAAATTAGTTTTAGATGTCTAATTAAAACGTAATTACGATACGAAAATTTATCTATATGTGAGACGTGCGTGAAATATGAATGTAGTGATGTGTCGATGACACATAATCGTCTGTGTGTAAGTGCTATTTCTAATATGATTAATTGTCTTTAGGATCTTGTGTTTTTTTTTCAGGTAGAATCATCTCCGTTTGTCAGACAAACTCGACGTTGCTACAAAAATGGGAAAAATATATGAGCGTCGTTTAGAACAGCCAACGCCAAATGTGTCTTTGGGAGAAGTCATTCTGAACAAATTGCGCGAGAATGGCGATCATATTTATGCAGTATGTGTCATAATTACAAAACGCATGATAGCAATTGTCAATTACGAGCTTATCGCTTACAAAATTTTGCGATGTGATAACGAAGTCTGTTTACAATGAAAATTTTTTTAATGCCACCGATGCTAATCACTGGAGGCAAAATTCATGAATTCTATCACTAAATTTTCCTTGTCACATTATGTATCTTTTAAATAATAGTATTTTTATAATAATATTAAATCTTTTATAATAATCTCGATCTGTTCATGGGTAATATTTGCCAATAAAAAATATTTTTTATACTTTATATGTTTTATAAATGTACACTTTATATTATATGTACTTAAAATTTCGTGTCCGTACATTTATTCAATTGAATTCGTCATAAAAAATTATCAAAAATTTTGAACAATCTGACTCTCCAATCTCTAATGTATAAAATAATAGAAATATTTTCTATTCAGAATATATGTTCCCAATTATATCGATTTTAAATATAAAGAAACGACGGTCTAAATCGAGCGGTAATAAAGTTCTTTCGTATAAAATAATTTAATAGTATACAATGTTAGTATACGATAGAAAGGTAAAAAATATAAAAAAACATAATATAGTAAAATCGAACGTTTTGGAACTCACAGATCCTTCTTCAGCGATTTTTGAAAGATGTTATAGAGTCATCGAGATGAATAATCTTACGGTCAAAGAGACAGAGTGGTGAAATTGTTTCAAAGAATTAATTTTCCTGTTTTTTATGTGAATTGTGTCTAAAGTGGAAAATTCATTGTCGTCAGTATAAATAGTAAAGAGGTAATAAGAATATCATATGAAAGTAAATTATTGTCAATTACGTCAATTGCTTATTTATAAGATGATTAAGATTGAATTTCTTACTTACAATAAATAATTCATTGTAAGAATGAGTTTCTTACAATAAATAATAAAATATAAATTATTTATTGTAAATAACTCTATGTCTCTTTGACCGTAAGATTATTCATCTCTATGACTATAATATCTTTCAAGAATCTAAAGAAAGACATGTGAGTTTCGAAATGTTCGATTTTACTATATTATGTTCTTTACTATAATTTTTATATTCTTATATATATTCTTTACCTTTTTGTCATACTATATATATATATATATATATAACATTGTATACTATTAAATTAAATTATTTCATATAAAAAAACTTTATTACCGCTCCATTCAAACCGTTGATTCTATATACTTTACATTGCAAAAACAAGCGAAATCTAATTATATCGATTTTATATGCTATATAATTAATAAAGACATATTTTTTTTTTTAGATAGATGGACCAACCGGCAATGAGATAACATGTAGAGAATTACTTGAAAAAAGCGTTAAACTTGCAAATTTTTTACAAACATATGGAATAAAAATTGGGGATAGAATTGCCATTGCAACTGAAAATCAATTAAATTGGTTAATTGCAGGTTGCGCCATTTCTTATCTCGGTGCTATATTATCACCATACAATCCTTTATATAAAGAATGTAAGTAAAAAGTATTATTATGTAAACTATATATTTACCTGTTATATGTAATATTTATACAGTATGTATACAACATATAATATTTATATATATATGCACACACATATTGTATTATATTCTGCATATCATTTCTTTACAAAAGTAGTCACAAATTTTAGACATCTATCTAATGATGTAATCCAAAAAACCTGTAAATTTTATATCGACACATATAATGACAAGTTTAATTCGATTTAATTATACGAGTAATTACTAATACAATATCTGCTAAATTTAAATACCAATTGATTTCAAATGTTTATCGTTTAGACGAATTCCAGCACATATTAAGTATTGCGAAGCCCCGTATTGTCTTCGTGTCTGAACGTACTGAAAGTGTCCTCGCTAGAATTCTACCACAGTTATCCTGGAAAATGGAATTAATACAGCTGAATGATCAATCGCTCACGGCAAACGTCCGCACGTTGAGGGATATCTTAAATAACGAACCAAATGTAAATTATATGGAATACAAATCTGTAGATATCGATGACACTAGCCGTCATCCATGGGCTATTCTTTGTTCAAGCGGAACTACAGGATTGCCAAAAGGAGTAACACTGTCTCATAAAAATCTAATGTCGTTTTTAGTAAAAATGCGGCAAGTTTTATATACATCCTTTTATTGACCATTAGTCAACATTTTTTAATAAGTAAAATTAATATACAATTAATTAAAAATGCGCATGTTACACGTGTTTGGTTTAAAGAGAGATTTAAATATAACATAAAAATATATAATTATATTATATTAATTATTGAAAAGTAAAATTTGTAGATTATTTCTAATTGAAATGTTAATGTTAATGTTAACTTTATTCTCAAACTGTGTATGTACGATCGTACGAAGAAACAAAATGCTATTTTCTCGCTCGCTAAAATGTGATTAGAGATTTGATTCAATAACTCAAATATGATTTAAAAACACAGCTTGCCCGAATACTTGGACGCAAGAAATGGCGACAGAATGTTGATGTTGCTACCGTTTTATCATGGCTACGGGATAGGCACGATGATGATCGGTCTTATCTCGAGGTGTACCATGATCATAATGCCCGCTTTCGAGCCAAAACTCTTCCTAACCCTGGTGCAAAAGCATCAAGTCACCCATTTGCCGGTCGTACCGCCAATTTTGACGTTCCTGGCGAAACACCCGCTGGTGGATAAATATGACTTTCGCAGCGTGAGAGAACTCGTCTGCGGAGCGGCGCCGCTTGCGAAGGACGTAAGTTTTCTTCTGTCATCGTGAAGTTTGTCGTCCCTCTACCTACCGAACCCCCTTCCCCTCCCCTCGGCCAAGTTATCAAGGCAAGAAAAGCAGCCATCGGCGGGACTAAGTGCCGAAGTGAGTCCTTGATGCCGCGGCTGCGGCGAGAGGATCGAACGAAAGACTGCGAGACGAAGTCCCGGAGAGTCGTCGCATTTTCACTAGACACGGCACGGGGAGTAACTTTATCGCGTTCGTTTTTGTTTAACCAGTTCACAAAGTCGCTAAGGAGAAATAGAAGGAGAAGAAAATAAAAGGCCGCATCGCGAGTTCGCAATCGCGTCTTTCGGAAAATGCGAAACTGATCTCTTATCGGTGGACGAGATAAAGGGAGGAAGAGGATAAGGTCTCAAAGTTTCGAAAACCAAACATGCCTCTGAACTTAAACGTCTCCTGAATGCTGTTTTCTTATAGTTGCCTTTGTCTTTCGTATAATTGGGATACAATTGTGGCAAAACGGACATTAAAGTAAAGAAAAATGCCGTAAAATATCTGTACATTAATTTTTATATTAAATAAAATTTATACTGCTAAATTCTGTTTCTGTAATAATAATTATAAGAATAATTCTTTTTATAAAAATTAAATACAGAATAATAAAAAAGTTTGGCTACAAGATTTTATGATTATCAAATCATTAGTAATGTGTATTTACAAAAAAAATAAACTCTGGAGTGTTATACTTTGTTAAATATAAAAATAATAATTAACATTTAACATGACCTTTAGCTTTGATACAAGTTTTAAGGCATTTCAAGAATGTATCAGGACACTATCTTAGTCGCGAATCCTTTCAGGAATAAATTCTCCCAGGCAGCCATAGCTTTTTTGGTGTACAAGTAAATAGTTACATTTCAGAATTTAATTTTTTAAATATGTATTATATTACTGAAGTAACAACCTGACGTTATTTTTATTTTGACATAAAAATGACGATATAAATAGCACATTAACTTACTACCTGAATGACTTAATTTAAATACACAAACCTTTGTTATACAAATTTTTCGTCATCCTAAAAGTGGTATCCTATGACGGATTTCAAACGACAATATTACAAAATAATACTAATGTGTGGAACCCTCGGATTATTTTACAGGTCAAGCTAATGTTAATTTTTTTTACATTAATTAATTAGACCAATAGAAAAAAATTAATCGATGGCTTGCTTAAGTTTAGAAACATGATGAAATTTTAAGTAACTTATTTCTTCTTTTTCTTTACAGGTTACAGCTGCAGTGAAAGCTCGCCTGAACGTAAAATATATTCGCAACGGCTATGGCATGACGGAATTGTCGATAGTGAGCGGTGTGAGCGGACGCGACGATGAAAATGATGACGATTCGTTTGAAAATCCAGGAGTCGGACTACTTGTCCCTGGTTTTCTCGGCAAAGTGGTCGATCTTGAGACACAAGAGACTCTGGAGGCCGGCCAGGTGGGCGAGATCTGTTACATGGGGGAACAAGTGATGCTAGGTTACTGGAACAACCCTGAGGCGACCAGACAGACTATTGACCAAGATGGATGGCTTCACACTGGTGACATCGGCTACTTCGACAACAAGGACAGGTTGCATGTGATCGATCGTGTCAAGGAGCTGATCAAGTACAAAGGCTACCAGGTCGCGCCGTCGGAGATAGAAACCGTCCTACTGTCGCATCAAGCGGTAAAAGATGCCGCGGTCACCTCCAAACCCGATGAACGCAACGGAGAAGTTCCAGTGGCCTTCATAGTGAAACAACCTGATGCAACGATCACAGCTCAAGACTTGCAGGAGTTTATTAAACGTGAGTTGTCACTCAGTTTAATCTTTTTTGGCATTTCTCACAGAATCATTAAAATGTCGTACATTTAGGATACTATTCATTTTTCTCACTATGAAAGTCTTAGACAAGTGCAATTATACTATTTTATTTCATTATAAGTCATATACTTCGTTTGATTTTTTATTACAGTGACATTTTTTTTGTTACAAACAAGAGTAAAAAACATTTCTTAGCGGATTTAAAAAATATTAGGAGTATTATAGATTGTTGATAAAAAATTATATATTTAATAAATTGTTTGCAATAATATAGTAAAACTTATTCTGTATGAATACGTTATCGCATTTCAATTTATTTAAATACATAAGTAAAATACGTTGCCAGGAATGAATACATGATTTAGTGGCAGGAACATTAACATCGTGTTACATTATTAACGACATTATTAGTTATTAGCGACGTCGTATTGTAATAATATTAAATGCTGTAATTAAAATTGTTAGTTATCTCTGCTGTCTCTGTAATTTAAATGTATGGCACAGCGAGAGAGTGGAAATATTCCGCCCCGTCTTGACATTGCATTTTAATAGTAAACGCGAGCCGAGCGACGACCTGTACATACATTAACCAAGCAATCCAATTTATCTTGCAGAGAAACTGTCGCCGCAAAAATGGCTGTATGGCGGGGTGCAATTTGTCGATGCCATACCGAAGAATCCTTCCGGCAAGATTCTACGCCGCGAACTTCGAACAATGATCTCTAAACTGTAATAGTAAAAATCGCATACCGATGAATTTGTTACAAGTATAAATCTTCTTTAATGAGAAAACGAAAGAAATTGAATCCACAAAATATAATAATTTATAATACTTTATTAATAATATTAAGAGAAAATTAACAGTCTTTCAAGGCAATGTGTCATGTTATTTATGTCGTGTATATTAGGAATATTTTTACGTAAACGAACATCTCACTGTGAAAAAGAATAATTAAGCGCCACGGAAGAAACGTTGCAGAAATGCAAATTTATTACAGCTTGTTGTCACGTTGATTAATTCATAAGTAAACCGTTGAACAACTGTGACCGATTAAATACGAGCGGTGGACCAGTTCTACCCCCAAAATGTAGCAGGACGGTACAGCAAGAGGGTGTTTCGAGTTATATTACATGATATTACTCTTGCACTAACCTGCAATGCTACGAAAATAAGCGAAGAAACCTGTTGCGTTACGTACGTCGACGAAAAACATGCGAGCACGCGCGTGTTCTCGTATTTCATCGATATCTAACTTCTCTCTACCTTTGTAACGATATAGATTGAGCTTCTTATCAATCCTCGTATGTTTTCCAATGAATCTCCTATAGATGTAATAAAGTACTATCATCTATATGAAATTTACATAGCAATTTTTGGAAATTGTCTATAACAAAATTAACTCTTTAAATAAATGAAAATTGCAATAACCGCAACTTACTTTGAATTCTTTCACGTTAAATTGCCAACAGTAACTTTCATTATTTTTATTATTTCCTATTTATTGATAACTTTATTTTATAACAAGTAATTTGATATAGTACGACTTTAAAAACTGAGCTAAGGCTTCTATAACTCTTAGGCCCATTAGTTTCCACAACTCACGGTTAACTTTTAACTGAGGTTCACACACACAATTTCTTTCTCCTCTTTTTCCAATTCTAGAATTGAAAAGACATGAGAAATACATTGAACCTCGGTTGAGAGTTAATCATGAATTGTGGAACTGTGCCTCAATGACAGTATCGGTAATATTGCGCAGATTTTATATATATAAACAATAAGCTACGACAATCTAAAGATACTAACTTGTCGCACTCAGTTAGATTTTTTAGATGAATTCAATTAAAATTCAAATGTATACCATGCGTTACGAGTTTTGAGCGACGCAACATACATGAAATAGTTTTTCGTCGAATTTTTTTAACAGAAACAGGTTGAAAATGGAAAATTATCGACATTCTTTTGTCGTCTATTCTAAATGCATTCTGCGAACGATAATTGATCATAATTGATAATGACTGCATCGCTTAACGGAATAGTTAACCATTATCGGAAAAGTGCGGCACGAATTGCCGGCGGTTTCGACGAATCAACGGGATTATCGGTGTCCGGTATCGGAGAAATTTAAATTTCACACCGTGGACACTCTCTCGTATATGGTCCCCAGATAGTCGCACGCGAAGATACATATGTGTACACGCGTGTAGGACGTGCACGCATACGCGTGTGCATCCGTCGACAGTTATGTGTACGTGTTCATGCCTCACGTTCCTGTTGATTTAATTACGACGATTGGCCTGACAAATCTAATTGACGTGCATCAATTATTTGGGCCGCTTTCGAAGGCCGTTTAATTCCCTATCCTCTTCCTGACGAGAACACACAGTTTCGCAGTAATCCCATTTTTCAAGGGACTCTCTCTTTCTCTCTCTCTTTCATTCTTTGTGAAATTTCGTTTGTCGTTATGTCGTTGAGTCGGTAGCGGCCTTCACTCAATCAGGGTAATAAAATTCTAAGCATAAATGAACATTCTTCTAGAATTGTGAGTTTAATCGCTAAAAAAGTTACAGGTGATAATAATAAAATATTTAATTTTAATTTTTCACAATAAATTGATTACAGTTTACATTTTAAATGATGCTTATTAGCATATTATAAAAATAAAAATACTAAAAAAACTGTTTTATTATTTAATTTATATTATTATTTTAAATATAAATTGCCTATGCACACGCGAGCTTTCGCAGTTGTTAGTGCATTAATGATATATATTTACAAGACATGAGTTTGTATTTGACTTTCGCATTGAAAAGTACTCAAACTCAAAGTTGAAACGTTTGCAGTTAACTCCGTTGGTAAGTATGTACATTCCAATTGTTTGCGAATTATGTGTTATCGTCTTATAAATATATATACTAGCGCATATTAACAATCGGTAAAGGCTTAATTAGATAATTTACTTATATTCGATTTGTTCTTGGAACTGTGAAATTATTTTTATTTTAATCAGCATGGCGCACAGTTTATAGAATTGAAAGTAAAATGTATTTAAAAATTTATGAATGAATATTACTAAGTCCGCTTTTTGATCGAATATGCTGAGGATCCTCTCTCTTATTTATGTGTTACAAAATGTAAGATCAATTATAATTTTGGGGAAAATAACTAAAATAATAATCATCGTCGGTATACATAAAATAGTCTAAATAAGTAAATTACATTTTTTATGTGTTTAGCTACCTCTGTAATCGTATGAAAGATATATGGTAGAAAGCGTCGAGCACGTTTCCCGTTTCATAATTTGGATTATTCGTATTTGCGTATCGTTGCACACCGAACGAATAATCCATAATCGCGTATTTGCCGCGCCCAATCGTGTGCCTAATTATATGAAACCAGTTCTGTACACGGTGTACGATACTAATGCAGCAAATTATCTGCGCGTATGCTGTTATTGGGATCACCGTGACATACACGCGGGTTCGACTACTGAAATCTGCGTATTTAGACGAGATGGGGTTCGCCAGGGGTCGAGGCCGGCGATAAATTACCGTTGATGGAACGAATTTTCAAAAGCGTTACTCGCGGCTTACTCTTAGCCGGATTACCGCTTCGTTTAAGCGGCGAATTTTCACTACGCGCATTCGCAGATTTTGAAAAATAAAAGCCACGATTATTTTCGCTTGGTAGGGGGATACTTGCATACAGTATAGGTACAATGTCGCTTGTTTAAAAGTTTCATTTTCAAGGGTGACAGCAATTTTATTGAAAATTCACACATCATGTTTAAACTTGATAATTGATTTATTATAAAGTCGACCGTTTTATCTTCCGGGGTAAAAATGTCTATCGAAAACGAGGTCGTTACAAAATACCATGTCGTAATACAACAAAATATCACGTCGCAATGCGTAGCGCGCGCCAGGATAGAACATTCGCCTGGAGTGCGCGCGTGCACATACATATATGAAATACTTGGATGTACTCAGGAAATGAGATCCGAGTCTATCTGCGCGCAATCAGATATGGGAATTCGCGTGCCTCGCGGATATTCAGATATTCACAATGGCCTGGATTCGTGCCGTACACGCTTGACATGTTGTTCGCGACGTTAATCAGTCCAAACGATTATTCCTCTCAGGTGCTTCATCGGTATTTGATCGTCTCTCGTATTTTTAGGCGCGTCTCACTATACGCGCGTATAACATTACTGAAAATTATTATTTCAGCGACAACAGAATAACAAATTTGGCTTTTGATAGTGAAGTTTCCAAAATAACAGCTCACTTTTCTCTCTTTTCATAAATCTATAAAAAATAATAAAACAGAACTTTTTCTTTATTCAAGTTAATAATTTATTAAGACCATTATACGATATTCTATCTTCCTGTTAATTTATTTTGTAAAAAATTTAATTAAGAGACACATATAGTAGTGTCAAGTATTAGATTATTATATGTAGGTATATTTTTGGAACAAATTTGTAACAAAGGAAAATTTAACGATAATATCATTATCGATTGTCGAAGGCATTTGTTACGAAGTATCGACGAAGCGTGATAGGAATCGTCCACTCTCTCGAGGAATGCATTCGCGCATCGGTCGAATCCGCGATGCACTTAAACCAAAGCGCAGTTGAAAGGGCACAAAACGGCAGAGGCGACGCAGTTGGCCGCAATAGCGATAGATAGCGAGATTTGGGCATAGCGAGCGGGCACAATACACGCTCGCGCCGGGCCTTCAGAAAATGAGATACGATAGGAGGGTGAGTACGAAGGGGTTGAGGAAGGTGAGGCGCGAGGGGGCAGAGGAGGGCGAACAGGAGGAAACCGGGAGAGGGGCCTATCACTCGGCTAGATCCAATACAATGCGAACTATTGTACCCACGTTCGCCATCCACTCCAATTCCTGGCGTGGAGATATGCAGTCGAGTCGGGGGCTGCACTTCGCGCGGGGGTGGTACACGCGTACTATATGTGTATATATATATAGGCAAGTGCGAGGGTCGGAAAGTTAGAAAGGCAGAGAGAAAGAGAGAGAGGTTTATTCAATTCAGCGAGTAGTTTCCTGAAGCGGGCTGCAAAAATTAAAATGTGGCAGAAAGAAAAGAGGATTATAAACATGTATATATTTATTTAAATTATGTAAATATATTACGAATCAAATAAGATAAATATATTTAAGACCTTTTATATCGCATTTATCGGGAAGGTAAATAATATTTTTAATAAGTTGTCTATATAAATTACGTTATAAATTAAGACCAACAATTCTTACGTTAGACTATTATAAATAAAATGAATAACTACTAACAATTTACTCATTTTAATATTTTTTAGTGTTTTCAATTTTTCTTAGAAAACTATATATAATAATAAACATGTTTATAGCAAAATATTGCTATAGTAACAATAAGTTAGAATTAAAAGGGAGAAATTGAAATAAGAAGACACAACGGGGTATGGAAACACAAAGGTGAGACAATAAACCAGAATAAAGGACAAAAGAAAGGAGTACAAGTGTAGTTAAGAAGTAAAGCTTTAAAAAGTGGAAAAACAAGAAACACACAAAAATAGAAAGAAGCTCAGGTGTTAAAAAAAAAAAAAAAAAAACAAAAATCAACCAGTCAAAAATGTAAGAGTGATGAAAACGAAAGGACAAACGCGGAAATGAGAAACCTTATAGGGCAAGAAGAAAACAGCGGAGCGAAGGGCGGCGAGTGTATAGCGGGATAAAGTGTATCTCTCGCGCAGTAAAGGCGAAAGAGAAGAGGAACTAAAATGAGAGAACGAGTATAAAAGGGGAAGAGCATTACGTTTCTTTTTTTTTTCTCTCCAATTGCTCTTCCTGCCGGGGATGCAGCCGGCCAGCGAGAAACGTGCCGCACACTTCCCAATCTCTTTCTCCCTCTGGTCGGTCTCCATAATTTAAAGTAATTTCGCAGCGCGGTACACGAGTAACCGCACGTTAATACCCCCTACCCCACTACCCGGACTATCCCTGTGTCTGTTCCTACGCCACCGCTACCGCTCGCCCTTGAGCAACGTATGCAGTGCGGTCACGTTCCCGGGGAAATCATGCCGCTGCCGAAAATGAATTGTTATTACGACGACGATGTAGTGTCAAGTGCAACCCCGAGGGTCGATCTACGGCTCCGCCACCCGACCCGGGTGTCCATTCTCGCGTGATGCATAGGCTGCGCCCGGGATTTACATGGTCCGGCGGTCACCACGTCGTCGACGTAAAATTGCCGCGCGGCGAGAAGAAGATATTAAATGTCCCTGAGAGGATTACTTATTGACGCCCCCCGATCAGCGAGCGTGCGAGAGAGCGCGGGGGAAAATGCGATAGTCTCCTCCGCCCCCGAAGGAGGGAGATCGGTACATCATGATGAACAACGCCGATCGTGATTCACTGTGACTCGATCTTTGCACCCGGATGAAGCGGAATCGATATTTCACGGTTAACGAGGGTTCATTTGACCGTCACTGCTTATTATAATGAACGAGCCCGTATATCTGACCACGCGAGGTCGCGACGGTGGAGGGGAAGGATCGGCGGTTAACGGAAGGGCCGTCGAGTCAGAGAGAGAGAGAGAGAGGGTGGGACGCCGAGGGGTGGACGGCGCGTGAAGGGTGAGAGGAGACAGGCGTTTACGTGCGGCAGACATCCGATGATGCATAGTTGCTGTTGACATGCTGGAACGTCAGGCTCACATGACCTCTCGAGCGCAGCCATTATCCACAAAGCGCAATGCCTCCCCCATCCCGGTCAACCTCTCTACCATCACGTGCCTGTTGCCCGTCCCCTCTGACCGTCGAATTGGGACAATAACCGCTCCACGAAGTCGTGTTATAATTATTAGCCGCGTTTTCGCGAGTCCACCCCTCGTTATGGCGCGTTTTGTTCCTCGTTAATTGCGCAATAATGCCACTACCGGGCGCGCCTCTTTGCCGCGTTGCTCGCTCTCACTTCCGGTTCTCCGCTCCAGGAGAGCTTGTCGACACGAGAGTGGCGCGAATTTGTAAAACGCAGTTTTCCAACACGCTGTTGCACTTCCGCAGCCGGATTGTCCCGCTGACGTTTTCGCTGGACTTTATTTACGCGTGTTTCGCGAACAGATTGATAATGTTGCTCCGGACGCACGCGACTGATTGGAACATACCATAGGTTGTGGAAACTGATACTATATCCAAATGGGCGGACATTTGTTGTGTCGATGTATGTATATATTAGACTCTGTTGTTTTATCGTGCGTGTCTGTGTGTTGCTCTGTTACAATTTTATTAAATTGTGTAGTGCAATGAAAAATTCAACTCTCTATCCTTTCCAATTTTTTTTTATAGATAATTGAATTTATTAGTCGAAATTATCGCAATTGTTTCCCGTACGTTCATAAAAATATCTCTTTTCTTTGTAAGCGGAGAACTATTTAAAGATTATAAAAATCGAAATCCCATTCGTAAGCATATAGCTCGAATAATATTTTGTTATCATAATCGAAATCGTTATTGAATTACATAATTATATATTATAATTATAAATTTTCTTCTCACATTGCATAATAAAGAAATTACAATAATAATAACAATTTATTAGGACCGTATAATGTATAAATATATAAATGAAAAGTAGAGCCCATAACGGTGCGAAACTGGTTCTTATAAAGAAATAAAAATTAAAAAAAAAAAAAGAGGAAAAGATACAAACGTGCCAAGGAACCATGTGTCTCGAAAATCCATCAGACGGCTTCCTGACGCGCGTTTCTACGTGCATTTTAGCGACGGAAAGGTTTGCTTGTCAAGCGGCGCGATACCAAATGAAAACCGCAGGTTTCCGATGACAGAGCGAATATGCATTAGACGGGTAACGTGACGCGACGTAACGCAACGCCGATTACGTATGCAACGACGCGACACGCGCGTAATTCCGTCGACGACGTACCGGGCGCGAATGCCGCCGATTGTCCGCGCGACTTTGCGTGGCGGCCGAACACGCCGGATTGTATCTCATTGTGCTTGCCGTGGAGGCAGAGATCATCGGCTCATTCGCGCAGACCGCGCGTTTATTCGCGGCTATATTCGAGTATCGGACGAGCGGGCTAATTGTTTTACAGCGAGACCGTGCGATATCGCTTCTCCTCTTCCGATATCCGGCCTGCACTTGGCGCAATATTGCAATCAGCGCGTGGCTGTACGCCGGAAATCGTGCCGCGAATGTCATTGCCGCGGCTCCACGGATAATCGACAATTTGATGCTTGGTCTCTAATAATTGTGACGCTTGTTTTATACATCATCGCAACTGATCTCGAGAAACTTTCCACAGGGAATATTTAGTGCTTTCCAGCAAGAGACGCAGGGTATTTTTCATTTAATGACGCAAGTCGTCAGTCAAACGTTTTTATCTATCTTTGCATTCCATGAGATCCATACATAGACACAACAAAAATAGAATGATACTTGTGTCGAGTATGTCACCAAACAGAAAACATTCATCGTGCTCGACATTTTATCTTATTTGTTTGGCAAATGACAAGACGATAATTGTGTCATCTGCGTCTTTTGTTAGAAAACACTCATTATATGTGGCAAAAAAAAGAGAAACTACATGATTACACTTTATAAAATATGTATTGTAGATTTTTAACACCATGAATGTTATTTAAATAGGTATAGTTTTCACCGTGTTGGTGCAACAAGGTGTGACTTTTGAACACTACTTTTATTATTTAAATTGGGATATTAAATCCATGGCATTAAATTTATACTGCCTTGGTGTTTATATATCAACACTAATACTGTAATATATAAAACGAGATAATGTTAAATCCATGCTCATATATTATTTTTTAGAGTACATTTACAATGGCTATGTGAAGTTGACCCCCCCACTATTGCAAATCTAAAAATGACCATGTCCATTCGTTTAGTGGTCGTTTGGTAGTCAAAGATATAATGAGAAATGTCAAAAAAAGAAGAACGCGCGTGAAGTTAGCCCCCCTATTTCTAAAACTCGGCTTTGCAGAATGCAAATGCAATAATGGCTGTAAGCATTCGTTTGGTGGTTGCTTACTGATGTTTCGTAGTCCATTCCCGAGTATTGGTAGTCAGAACTATAACTAAGTGTATCAATAAACTGCATATGCTCATGTATTTTACCTGATTATTTCTAAAACTCTGCTTTTTCGATTACCTATAATATATAGGCTAGCTGTATTCCAAAATAAAATTTATTAAAAGAATTTTGTGATTTTTTGGACATTGTTATTTTTTTGGAGGTGTGGATTAGGAATATACATATATAATTAATTAA